GCCATGGGCACCCGCTGCCGATGGCAACCCCGCCACCGGCTGTGGCATGACCCAGCGGACCCCATCCACCACTCCTGAGGACTAACGCCGCAGGCGTAAGCCGCTCCGGCGAGCCCCGCTCCTCCTTCCATGTTCTAACACCGGCATGGTCACCTATGTTCGCTGCCGTCCCCCTCTCTCCCCCTTCTCTGTCTTAGCCAGGTGGGACCGGAAGGAAACGGTGTCGTCGTTCCCCTCCGTCTCCGTTCGCCTCCCCACTCTCTCCCTTTCCCTCACTAACATATGGGCCCACGGCCTTAACGCCGACACCGCCGTCACTGCTGACGCAAGCAAGGGACCCACCTGTCACACACACACACAACACACACAGCGTGGGGTACGTTTTAGAAAATGCTAGGTACACACGGTTAGTGTACACAGAGGGTTAGAAATGCATTTTCCTAACTTAGAAAAATTCCTAGAAAATTTGTAAATAAACTAGATGCATTAAGGAAATTAATCATGTAGTTTGCACCATTTTCATGCACTAGAAAATGAATATAAAATTCCACCTAGTTAATTAGCTGTAGAATAAACTTCTAAAATTCATAACTTTTAAACCATAACTCTGTTTCGCATGAATCTATTTCTAAAATTCATCTAAAATCAAACCCTACCATATGCACCTAGTGCCACCATATAGTTATATGTTTGCTTGTGCCATTTCCTTTGAGGATAGCGGTAGTCTTATTAGACCGATACGTCCGACAAATGACGGTAATCGTTAGGAGAACGAAGACCCGAGTTACGTAGACATGTCGAAAGGTGACAACGACAAAGGCAAGTCCTAGCTCCCCTCCCTACCATCTTGCTTTAAACCACCATAATTCTAAAACATGACTATGAGATTATGACCCTGGAAATGAGCTCGGTTAATGCGATATAATTAAGATAAAGGATTATCTTATTATTTTATGAGCTCCACACCATGACTAGATTTAGGGATGATAATGGAACTTAAAACTTGTTAAACCTATACTAAACCCCAACATGGGGCAAGTAGTGGTAAACTATGGAGGTAGTTTATCATGGCAGGGATGCCTGGATAGGGTTCCAGTGGGAGATACTCGCCTTGGTCATATAAGGACCAGTTTGTAGTCCCTCTCGCCTAGTGAGATATTTTCGTACATCCACATGTCTATATGGGTAGGCTTTATCCCACACCTTGTTAGATAGAAGTATAGTGTCTACTAGGAGGCCGATGTAGGCATGGAATATCAGGAGCCGATACGGAGGATAGGTTTTCTTCCGTGTCCGGTTGGCGTGGATGCTATGTGATCTTTCATATTAAGCTTTAGGTTTTTAGGCCACATTTGAGCCACTATTTTCTTGGCCGTGTTCGAGCCATGTTTTCTTTTGTGATGATTTGGTATCATCACATTTTGGGGGATTTGGTATCTTCTCGGTTTTGTGTCTCCAACCCTTGAGAAACCGTGGTAGAGATTATATGCAAATCTAGGTTAGCTTCCAAGCGGGTATGGGATCTCGTTATGTCTATTTTGTCCACTAAACATGGATGAGGTTGCACCTATCATGTGGGGAAATTTGTACACCTCTGCAGAGTTTATTAAATCTATTCGAATAGCCACGTCCTTGGAATGGGCAAATGCTAGGATGAGATACTATGATTAACTTTACTTTTATGTGTAATGAAACTGGTAATATAATTGATGCTAACCTGGGTACTAGTGGGAATGGTAATACTCCGCTAGGACCCAACCTGTAATTATAACCACCACTACACTTCTATTTCCAACCTATGATTGGGACTTGCTGAGTACGTATGTGCTCATCCGTTGTTGACTTACAGACCTCGATACAGAAGAAGACTATGACTTCGAAGATGAAGCATACCACGAGGATTAGGTTTCCTGTAAGGAGATACGATCGTAGGAATGTGACATCGAGGCTAGGGTTTCGTTCGCGCTCAAGTTGCCTATGGAATATGATGTCGTTTCGTTGTATTATAATCCCGCTTTAGAGACCACCAATAATACCGTTTTACGGCCATAGCCTTCCGCTAGCTATGTAGCCTATGACTAAGCCCCATGACCACTGTTGTAGACCTTATTTTAGATATCTATAAAGTTCGAAACCTTTTATTATATATCTGTGTACCATTTCTGTGATTAGTGCGTATTTGTGCGTGATCCTGACGTAAATACGGATGCATTAAGGACTCTCAAATTGAGGGGCCGACATCTTCTGTATAGATACTCTATTTGTAAACCGATTCAGGACTGATACCTATTTTTTGGGTTTGGGTGCCCTTGGAGACGTTCTAACCACGCAGTTGGGTTGTTCCATTCGGCTGACCACACAACGACAATTATAATGAATTACTAGGTAGCGTGTTCGTGCGTTGCTACGTAACAACTAAATCTTTTGTACTAAAACACACGGATCGCATGATAAGATGACAATACTGTTAAATAAATACCTACATCAAAGTGGCATTTAATTCAAAAAGCAAAGTTCGTGAAATTAACACAATCACGGAGAACGCGACGTCGCAGACTCACAAACTCTACTGTATAGACTTTTTTGTGATACGACTAAGATAATATTTTATATCGGCACAAAGAATTCTACGATATCCATTTTTTCACGCGCCAATAAATCCATGAATAAGTTCCACTGTATCTCCATATAATCATGTACACACAGGTTCAAGTATATATATAAATAGGTTTGTGCCCGTGCGTTGTTACGGGACAGCTAAACTTTTGTACTAAAAACACACGGATCGCACGATAAGATAACAATACTGTAAAAATATATGACCGACGTTAAAGTGACATTTAATCCAAAAAGCTAAGTTCGTAAAATTTATACAGTCACAGAGAGCATGGCGTCGCAGGCTCACAAACTCTACTATGTAGATCTTTTCGTGATACGGCTAAGATTATTTTTTATACCGGTAGGAAGAGATTTATGATATCCATTTCTTTCGTGTGCCAACAAATCCACGAATAAATTCCACCACATCTCCATACCATTCTGTACATGGCGCTGGCAAGCGAATTAGCCACAACTTATGTAATTAGTTTTATAATTAGCTCATATTTAGTCCTCCTAATTGATATCTAAAAATTCAATGTGACAGGGACTAAAATTTAGTCCTGGGATCCAAACACCCCCTAACTCTTGACTCCTGTTGGCTGCTCACTTCCACCACCATCTCTATGTCTACATGTATATACTATAATACCAGAACGTCTAAGATGGTCTTTATTGTTCACCATTTGAAAATATCATAACTTTAAGGTTGTCATTTGTGTATGCTGTAGGATTGAGATGCTTTTCACTGATCCATGAGGGTGTCCATGAGAGTCGAAATTTTTGATACCATTATGATGTCTAAGCTTACCAATCAGACAAAAACGAACTTGATTGTTAAAATATTTTCAACACTGCTTTCATATACTCCCTCTGTCCCAAAATAGAATTCATTCTTGTTTCCCGAGAAATCAATTTTTTTTTAACTTCAACCAATTATATATAAAAGAATATTAATATTTATAATACATAATTAGTATCATTACATAGACCATTGAATATATTTTTATAATAAACTTATTTGGAGATATAAATGTTGCACGTATTTTTTATAAATCTAGTCAATGTTGAGAAAGTTTGACCTGCACACATCCCATAACGACTTATATTTTGAGGCAGATGAAGTATATGTTAATGGAAGTAGTCAACTGGAAGTCGTGATGAACACAACAATACTTTCATATTATATGCTAATTGGAGCACGAAGAAACGCCGGAGAATTGACCTATATACGAATAGTGGGAATGTTCGTTTAGAAAATTACAGAAGGTTCACCAGTCTCACCATATATAACATACACATCTTTTATTTGACACCACTGATATTCTCAAGGAGGAGCCACTTTTTAATTTCAGGTCTGCATGCTGGAAACATTAAAATTAAGGGCTAACCTCATTGAGTCGTCTTACTTGATCTTTGTCAATTGTTTCGTTTCATGCATGATTATTGTTTCCTTTCATGCATATGGCCTTAGGTGATCGATTTGTTTTCTTCAAAGCAGACAAGGATCGCAGGGATGACAGTTTCTTTTTCTATCGCAGGGTATAGCATGGCCGGAAGGGAGAAGTCTTACTTGATCTTTGCCAATTGTTTCCTTCCATACATGATTATTGTTTTTTGCATGCATATGGCATCAGGTGATCGATTTGTTTCTTTCAAAGCAGGCGGGGATCGCAGGGATGGTAATTTCTTTTTCTATCGTACTGGTATCGCATGGCCGGAAGGGTGGAGCGACCAAAAAAAGTCACACAAAAAAATAGTCTTATTTTTAGTCTTTTTAGTTGTAGGAGATTAAACTTGGTAAAATAAATATCGCGGGCGCAAGGGCGAAATTGCCGGCGCATTTGGGGATTGACAGCCTGTTCGTTTAGCTGTGGCTTGTCGTAAACGATCGTAAATTTCCAGCCGGAACAATATTTTTCTCTCACACAAACCAGCCAACGCAGTACTTCTTCACGAATCAACAACGATACGAATCGGCCAATCTAACAGGTGTGGACGGGAGGTTCGCGAAAACGTTCCTGTCGTTGCTGACAAGTCCGCCGGCACCAGCCTGTGCCGTCGTCGCTCCTCAGCCAGTCCCGGCCAGTCCCGGCCGGTCGGCGGCACCGTCACGGCCGAGACGAAGACGAGCGCCAGCGGCCAGTTGCATTCTCCTCGCTCTTGTTGCTTGACCTGACCCCTCGGCACGCGTCAACGCAGGGCCCGCGGGATTCCTTCGCCGCGACGAAAACGAAACGCCTGTGCAATTTCCACGACTCCGCCCACGTCCGCTTCCACTACCCGTCGACTGGCTGCACCTGCACTTGACGAGCAGCGATCGCCCCCGGACTTCCAAAGACGGTTGCTGCCCCTCGGCCGCCCAGGACCCAGCCACCGATCCATCATCGCCACCACAGGCCATGTCCGGCGCCGACGCAGACACAGCGCCGTCGAGCGACGACGGGGGCCAGCACCAGCAGCGCGCGTTTCGGGACCGGGACGCGGCGCGTCGGCGGCTGCGGCTGGAGCGCGAGCTCGCGATCGCGCGCGCCATGCGGGCGCCGCTGGCGACCGTGGTCCGTGACCACGCGCTCGTGCACCTCCCGCCGGCCGCCGCGGCGCGCCTCTGCCTGGTGCACCCGTCCTGGGCGCGTGCGCTCGCCTCCCCGCTCTTCGCCGTCGCGCACGCCGCCGCCCCTCGCAGGGCCTCGGGCCTCTTCATCGCGCCCGCGCCAGCGACCGCGGGCTACTTCCTCCCGCTCGACGCCGCCGACACCGTGCCGTCCCCGGCCCTGGCCTTCCTCCCGGCCTCGTCGCCGCCCACCGTGCTGTCGTCCTCGCGCGGCCTCACGTGCTGCTTCTCCCCGGCCGACGACGCCTACTTCGTGTGCAACCCGGCGACGGGGTCCTGGCACGGCGTGCCGTGCCCGCCGCGCCGGATCACCTGGCCGCGCCCCGCGGTCGTCGTCCTCTTCGACGCCGGCGTCTACAACTTCCGCGGCGAATACGCGCTCGTCTGCGCCTTCGAGTCGGAGCCGGGCTCCGGCATCTACTGCTTCGCGGTGTTCGCGTCGGGGACTGGCGCGTGGTGGGTCGCCGACGCGGTCGCGCCCGCCGAGGGGCTCGTCCCTTCCTCGGGCGTCGCGGCCGGCGGGACGGCCTGGTGGCGGACGGCCATCGGCACCGCCGTCGGGTACAACCCTGTCACGGGCCGCGTCGACCTCGCGCTGTGCCCCGGGGACAGCACCCAGTGGGAGATCGGTTCGGCCGCGGGCACGTTGCACTGCGCCGTGCGCGACGGCGGCGACGTCGTGGTGTTCCGGCTCGACAGGCACGGTGGTGGCTGGGAGGTGGCCGCCGCGGTCTCTGTCGCCGAGATACTGCAGCGGCCTTGGCAACCGGAGCCCGCTTACGAGCTGTCCGACTCCGAGGACGACGACGAGGAAGAGGCGGCGGGCCAGGCAGACGTGGAGCGCGCGGGGGCTGTCATTGCCGTGGCGAACAGTTACAGCAGGGTACGGGTGCCGAGCGACGACGTGAGGCTGCTTCCGTTCCAGGGCGCCGAGCTGGAGGTAGTGCTGCTGGCCGGCAGGAGAGTGGTGGCGTTCGAGACGGTGACGCGGCGGCGGCGTGAGGCCGTCCTGCCTGATCAGCCGGCCGGCAAGGACTGGGGCGCCGTCGAGTACGCCGCGCACACCAACACGCTTGCGCTGGTCGCGCCCGTGGTGTTCATGGAGCCTCCGGACGATCAGGAAGACGTGGAATTGTAATCTCTTGTGCGAATTTTTCAGTGGCTCGCGCGCCCTTGCTTCACTGCTTAGATTCTTAGATCTACAGAATAATCAAGCTTGTGCTTGTGCATGATTTTGTGTGGAGAAATCAACGTAATTTCCGAGCTGCTTGGTGTACATAATTAATCCGAACTTGCTTCATCAGTTATTATATATATACTCCTATACAATGTGTTGGGCAAATTCTTCACACTTAAGTCGAATTCTACAGCTAATTTTGTGACTAATCTAGATGGTACTGTACTAACAAACTAACAATTCAGTGTCACTCCAGGATGTGGATCTTCGTCGGTTCCCATGTTGAATGAGACAAAATGGACGTGACTATTTTTTTTTCTAACATCGATATGATTGATGAGAGCTACAAAAGTCCATTGAACTAGTACTGAGTTGTAACACTCGCCGTGAAAAAGATGGTGGGAAAGGGAATAAAGCGAACTGCGATGGTGCTAATAAAGTAAAAGTCAGGAATAGTTGTTTCTAACACGAAACAACCGCTCATTGGCCGCATTAGGACGGGATCACTGCTAAGTGTTAACTTCTGTATGGGCAGCTAGTTCTTACAGCTGGCCCCAATAGGGTCGAATATATATTGGCTGATAAGTTTGATTTTTTAGTTAAATCGGTGAATTTAAAGACCTGGAGTATGCTGACATATTGTAGACTGTATAAAGCTACAATCATTTAGGCATATTGCAGATATAAATAGTTTGACATATATATTACTGAAAAAAGAATGCAGCTTTATCAGAAACCTAGCAGCTATTTTTGCCACGGTGTTACAAGAGGAAGCTGCAGGTTTTTGCAACATCATATTAACTTATATATCTTTTTTATTTTTTTATTTTTTTTAAAAAAACTTATATATCTTTTTAAAAAGAGTAAATTTCACTAGTGGTTTTTTAACTTGTCCCGAGTTCTAATCTAAGTCATGGTACTTACAAATTATACGTTTGGCTCCCCAAACTTATCATTAGTTCTCATCCAAGTCTGGGCACTTGCAAATTATAAATTTGGCTCTCTAAACTTGTCTACTGGTATTGCAATTTGTACACTCAACTCCCTAAAGTTGCATTATTGTACCACTCCAGTCTATCCACCACAAACTGCATTGTCCTCGCTCCAGCCACACAGGACATACCCGCCTCACCTGCATAGCCGCTTCACCGTGCTCACCTTACCACCCCGTGCTTGCCTGCCTATGTTATTACATTGTCGATGTGGTGCCGCACCCATGTTGCCACGTTAGGCCCCGTCGTGCCCGCCTCGCGCTACCACGCTGCAGTGACGACCCTATACCTTTGCCGAGGGAAGCGTGGAAGGCCAGGAGGGTGGTGAATGGGTGTGAGGAGGTGCCGAGAATGAGCATGAGCTCCTACGTGATGGGGGGATAAGGAGTGTGGTGGTGGTGGTATCGAGTGCGATTGTCGCGAGGCGAGAGCTAGTGCCAAAACGAGAATTGTTGTGAGCGATTCTGGTTAACGTTTCTGGGTGCCAAACATGCCTGACGCCCATTTGGTCGCCATCTCCAGAACCGGCAGCCACAACATTACAACAGTGGCAGAACCAGGGGTGGCCAGTCGGGCCGTGGCCACCCCCAACACCGTAGAAAAAATTTTAATACCCCAAATTTTTTTCAATTTACACCACATCAAACCATCAATTCACCCATTTTTCATCACATTATTATGATTTTTCGTCATGAATACTAACTACGTATATAAAAAGATTAAAAATATTTATCACGCTTATGTTTATATTTATCATGGTTAAAGATGTTATCACGCTTATGTTTATATTTATCACGCTTAAAGATGTTATCATATTTGTCTATTCCAGGATTTAACGGCGTTATGCTTTCAATGGTAGGCGACATCCCCGTCTACAGCGAGGCGCCTGTGGTGACATCGTGAATCTCGAAATCTGCCGACTCAGTCCTTCGGAGACGCTCATAGGGGTAGGGTTTGCATACGTGTGTTCATAGAGGTGAGTGTGCATATGTGTTGGACGTCTACGTTGTACTGTGTAATTCTAAAAAAATCGCTGGTTCCGCCACTTACTACAACAATCTATTCATCCATGACCCCACAAACGATGCCTTAACACTACAACAAAATAAGTTCGGTTCCCATTTTAGATTGTATAGATTGTTGTTTACACCAAAATTTGGGAGAAGAACGCGGGAATTCGAAGGCTTTCAAGATCGTGCCAATCAAGGAATCGATTGCATAAGGATCAATATCAGCTAATTCAGATACGACTCTGGGATCGGCTCTCTTTGAATGACGTCAGCAGATAACGATGATGAGCTGCAATTGGCGTCGGGAAACTACATATCGGACTCTACAAAAAGGGAAAGATTATAGTCCAAGTTATCTTAAGTTAGGAATATTTTCTTTCATACCAAGGGTCGTAATGAGTCGTACTCAAGTAGGATTCATGTTTAGACTCTGGGTATAAATATTGGACCCCGGCTATTGTAAGACACATAATCAATCAAATACAAGTTACTTACTTTTTTGGCTCCGACCACCCCTTAGAAGTAGGAGTAGAGTAGATCTCGGCGAGTTCTTTAGCGAGCAGGGCTGTATCGGTCCGGCTGACCTCCGGTTTGCCTGTAAGTACCGTCATGGCTTATACTTATGTTCGTACGGCTGCATCCATCCGGTCGACCTCCACTGCGACTTTGGTATAAACTAGTTATCGACTCTTGTCTAGTTCAAGTACGGCCGCATCGATCCGGTCGACCTCCACTGCTCGAACTAGATTAAGGTCAAGTTATCGGCTCTATCTAAGGGTGGCGTCCTTTGGATAGATTCATTAAGTTACCGATATTACTTATTGCTTTTATTATTTATTTAATTACATCAATATCACTTTGCCCGATTGGGATTGATCTAGATCGGCTTTATATCATGTTTAACCCATCGTTTATTAATCTAAACTAATCTAATCTGCACCTTAAATGATGAGTTATGTTTTATCAGCCGTTTTATGCCAATCTTGATCATGCATAGTGTGCGGTTAAGGCATGTCGGGTCTTGAATAGATCTATCGGCTAATGAAAACCGTTACATGGCCCGTTTTCACGGCCTGTGTGATTCTGCCTCACACCCCACTATTAGCACCGTGGAGTGAGGACCGTTATTTGGTAGATCTGTCCCTGATAGGGCATGGCCTTAATTGTGCGCTATGCCTAAATCGGCTGTTTTAGCCGATATCGAATGCTTTCACATATACAGTTCACGCCACGAGATCGTTGAAGTAAGGGTAGGTTGAAAGACATGTTAGCCCCACTGATATTAGTAATAAGTTAGGGTCATCGAATCTATTGTTGTTTTAATGGCCTGCATGATTCTGCCTCATGCCCCACTGATCATAGCGATAGATGAGATCTAATATGTTTATTAGATTTATCTTTATTAAATGGTTAAATGATGATGAGTTGTTTCCAAATCATTTATAGTCCTTTTCATCCGAATCAGTTATTTTAGCTGATTCATCCGAGCCTTCATGTATAGCATGTCTTTCGAAAAGCCTGTCGAAGTATGGATGTGTTTGCGGATTCTTCGGTTTTAGTTTGTTACTATCATCATAGCTACTATCAATCCGGTCGAACCTCACTGTTGGTGGTAACATATTAGATTTAGAGCGTTTGTAGATCCGTTTATATCAGATAGTCGATTCATTCGTGTGCTATGTCTTTTCCTGATTAGATTCATCGGTTTAATGGTTTACACTAGCAATATTTGTCTAGCTGATGATCTTATTTACATATACGTGTACTGTGCATGTCAATATGAAATTAATCGCTACTCATAAGCTTTACAGTCCGTAACAGCCGATTTCTATGCGGATCGGCTATTTAGTCACCTTTCGTGTCTGGCTGCTCCTGAAGCGGCACACTTGGAACTGTCTGGGCACAGACCGCATGTTTCACCTTAAATTACTGATAAACTTTCTCTCCTTGTCAATTGCAGGGTCAAATTGACTGGCACGTCTTGAGAGGAGTACGCAGGATCGATCATCCCTGCGTTGAAGCAAGGCGGATCTCTAGCTCCATCGAGCAGACCCTTTCGGCTTGCTCGTGTGCCTCGGCACGAGACGAATTTTCATGCTGACACACGTTCTGGCACGCCCGGTGGGACCCCACAAATCATCATGGCGGCTTATTACAATATTTTACATCCATCGACTCAAGAGACTAATCAAGCCGGTACCAGCTATCAAGAAGCAGCACCAGCTAGTAATGATGATGTCCAGGCAGTTCAGAGTTCATCTGAGCAAGCTCAAGGTGCTACTACGAATCAGATACAGTATAATTCTGGATCGTCAGTACAGCATGTGCAACAGCCGGTGGGGTAAGGTCAGAACCAGATGATTAATTTTAGCGCATCAGGCCACATACCGTCGTCAGCTCAAAAAATATCACCATCAATTCAAAGGATCCGTAGAGATATAGATCCTAATGTCTATAACCAGAGACTTCATGCAGCAAACTAGCAGAGGACCCAGCAGATAGAGATTCCATAAGGATATCATTATGGCACAGATTATAACACCCTTCACATGATTCTGAATCTAGGGTACCAAGATACCTGGAATTTTAATCCACAAATGGGTCAGCAGGTGCAGAGAAATCTAAATTCAAATGCTGATGAGTTGTTGCTGAGAGTGACCGAGATAATGAAGAATCGGTTCAGTCTGAAGCCAAAAGGGCTGACCTTCTCGTACAAATGCCCATATCCAGAATAGTATGATTTAGTCGCTCTTCCTACAAATTACAGGCTTCCAGAGTTTGTCAAGTTCACTAGTCAAGACAGCACAAGTATAATAGAACATGTCAGTCGGTATCTTACATAATTGGGCGAGGCATCCGTTGAAGAGGCCCATCGAGTTTGTTTCTTCTCCTTGTCACTGTCAGGGCCAGCCTTCACTTAGTTTTCATCACTGTCAGTCAATTCCATTGCCAATTGGAC